AACTATATCAGTACAATGTGTTTTTTTTAATAACGCCCAATTTCAATTTTAAATGAAAATCTTAAAATAATACCTTAATTATTTCCAATTAATTTTAAATCTAAATAATTGTAAAAATAATAATGTATTTATCTTAGAATCATATCAATATTTTTAAAATTTTTACTCATAATTCTGAGATTGTTTATGAATGTGTTGGTGGTTTTAGATTATTTTCATACATATATATATATATATATTATATTTATAGAGAGAAAAGCATTGATAAATATACCTTATTTACCTAAAACTAATGGTCTACACAGTTAAATTTGTTTTGAATGATAATTATTGATAACTTTCATAAAATCATTGATCTTATACATAATTTAAAAGATATATTTTTGGACCCTGAGTCTATTGTTAAATAATGATAGAGAAATATCTTGTATGTATTACTAAGGAAATAATGGGTTACATTAATTTTATTTCTTAATACACAATTCTGGATACTTAGTCTATAGTTAAATACTGATTGGAATTGTCTTATAATATGATTATAATTATTTAGGACATCTATATATAACTCATTATTCTAATAATTTAACTAATTAAAATTGAAAAATTGAAAATATAATTTTGAGACTTTCATAATACGAAATGCAAGAAATATTATATCAACATAATCCTTACTTAGATATATTGTTTAATATATACATATAAACATATTTATACTCATACATTTTACTTATATATATTAAATTGGATCTATAATCTTCATTTCGAATTAAATAAATAAATGAATATTTATACACATAATACCGTATTATAGACGTATTAATCAATGTATTTCATATACAATACTTGTTTATAATTATTAACTATTATTATTACATTTACATCAAATAATATGATTATACTGTAAAAATAACTTACTTGACTTAATTTCTTTAATAATTTAGTTTGAATACATCTTATTAAACATATTCTAGTTACCAATTTATAGATACTTAGGTATTACAAAATGATGATTACAATGTCCTAAAATCATATTAATCCTTTTTTAAGAATATTGTACTCATGTTTCTGAAATGATCTCTTATTTAGTTAGTATTTTCAGATTATTTTCCTATATAAATATTATATATAAAGAGAATTACATTCATAATTTTACCTTATATACCTAAAACTCAATATACTGATCTTATACATTAATTATTGTGAATACGCAATTCTGGATATTTAGTCTATAGTTAAATACTGATAGGAAAATAAACATAACATATTGTTTCATTATTAGAAAAGATAAATATTTTGTGTTCATACTTTGAGTACAATGTTTTAGAATTTTACAATTTATGTGTTAAAAAAAATCTAACATCAAATTTTATTGCCGTGGAAATTATCCTGATGGGTATTTTTTGATCATTCCATAATATTTTTTTAAATTTCATATGTACAGTGTCTTTTTTTTAATATTTACAATTTAATAAAACCCAATGTCAATTTATTATGAAAATCTCAAAATTATTCCTTACTTATTTCAATTTATATTTGTTAAATTATTTTGAAAACAATCCACACAGTGTCCTAAATTTAAATAATCATATTTTAAGAAAATTGAATTTATAAATCTCAAATTGTCTCTAAATAGATTAGTGTTTTTAGATTATTTTCCTATATAAAAATGATGTATTAATTGAATAACATTGACAATTATACCTTAATAATCAAAAACTAATAATCAACACAGTTATATTTGTTTTGCATGTTTATGCTCTCATAATTTCTTATTGTGTTAATNTTAGCATTTTACTATACATTAAGTATCTATAACTAATGAAACCTGTTATATGTTTTTCAGGATGTGTTCAAACTCAATAATTAAAGAAATTAAGACAATCACCATAAATTCATTGATCCACTACATGATTTCAATAAATACATATTTCTGGACTCGAAAATTATAGTTTAATATTAATCGGTAATTAAATATCACATAGTCATTCATTTAATTGCACAATTATAGTAAATATTCAAAAATAATATTTACAAATCAAAAAACCTCGTTAAAAAAATTTGATATGAAAATCTCAAAATTACATCTTTATAATTTTAATTTTAATTAGGTAAATTATTGTAAAAATTATCAATACATTGTTCTAAAATCATATTTTATTATTTTAAGAAAATTGTACTGATCAATTTCAAATGGTCTCTAAATGAATTAGTTTTTTGCCATTATTTTCATATATAAAACCTACATATTTGGTTATATGAATTGATAGATATAGATTATAAAGCCAATAACATTAAGTAAACACAGTTAAATATGTTTTAATGACATGTTTAAAATTATATAGTTTCTTAATTTGTATAATGTGTAAAATAATATAAAAACACTAACTCAATTGGAGACCATTTGAGAAACATGAGTACAATTTTCTTAAAAAGGGATTAATATGATTTAAGGACATTGTAATCAGCATTTTACCATATACTTAGTATCTTCAAGTTGGTAACTGGAATATGTTTAATGAGATGTATTCAAACTAAATTTTTAAAGAAATTAAGTCAAGTATGTCATATTTTCAGTATAATCATATTATTGGTTGTAAATGTAATAATATTATTTAATAATTATAAACAAGTATTGTTTCACTAGTATATAACTATTATATATTTGAAATACATTAACAATATCATCTCTAATATAGTATTATGTGTTATATGTTTAGTAATTCCATTAATTTACATTAATTAAATACATACATCTTAAAAATACATACATAATTTCTGAAAAAAATCTGTTACTTTAGTTTGTTTACTAATTGCAGGCGTAGTTATTTCGTATGTTAAGGCATTTTCTAATTGGACTGTGTTTGAGAACAATGAACTATTCTGTACCTCGATAGAAGAAATATACTTACGTGTGTCTTTCACTGCTAACAATGCCTCTCGTAGACTTCTTATTTTTGGAATTTCTTGATCTTCGGACCCATCATTTTCTTCATCACTTTCTTCTTCATTTTGTGTAGACATGCTCGTAGTATCAGATGAATTTTCGATATCGGCGTCATAAGTCTCCACGCAATCGTCTAGTGTTATGTAGTCAGTTTCCGTAATTGTATTGTCAATCACTTTAATAAGATTGCCAAGTTCTTCTATTGGTGTAAGTAGATCATCAACGTCTGTAACATTGTTATTACGGTGCCTAAAGCCGGACCGCAAAAAGCATTTCTTCACTGTTTCGGGTTGAATGTTTTTTGAAGATGAAGACACCCAGTAAATTGCGTTGGCATAATATACAATAAACGTTGGCATCACAAACACAACTAAACGCACATAGGACAATGCATTAGTTATAATACTTCGTTGACGCGATAATATTTCAATGACTGAACGGATAAGATAAGATTTTCATATACAGTATAATAATGTACACATAAGATAACTTAATAATTCAGGTTTTTATTNGTCCGTTATTTAGAGTGTCCTGTATTTAGAGGTTTTCCTATACATAAATAGTGAAAATGTTCCCGTCCCCGAAAAAAAGGTCCGCTATTTAGAGGTGTCCGTTAAGGGAGGTTTCACTGTACATAAAATAATTACAGTATCTAATAATAATGATAGATTTACACTATCAACAGAACCTTTTTTCAAAAATCTTGTTTCATAAAAAGAAATAAAAATTATATAACTCATAATTTTCTTAGTAATACATACAAGATAAAATCTATGATATCAATTCAAAATTAATTGATGAATTTTAAATATTACACTTATATACCAGTAAATTAATATTGATTAATAAATTATTATCTTGTAATATTACATTTACAACCAATAAAATGATTAATCTGAAAAAATGCCATATTATATTTATAATATATATATGTGTGAGTTTAAGTTTTTAAAGAAATTGAGTCAATTGTTCTTCTCTTATTATGTAATTTTTATGTATAAAATATTCTAAATACACTTAACATTTAGAGACCGTTTACAAAATATGAGTTATATTTTCTTAAAATATGAATATATTATTTATAGGCATTTTATTGATCATTTTCACAATAATTTACCTTACTCACATTGATATACTTAAGTTATACATTTGAGATATTCAAAGCAATTTTGAATTAGGTTCTATTAACTTGTAAATATTTAAAAAGGATTCAAAATGTATTATATTAAAATATGAACACAAAGTATTTAAAACTATATCTTTCCTATTGATAAAATTTGATATTTATTTTTATAATTATGTAAATTGTATTACTCAAACGCGTAAGTTTAATTAAAACATGGAAAAATGTCAAAACTTTTTACAAAAACACATATATGTTATCAACATAATCCTTATTGAGAAATCTTGTTTGTTATAAACGAATCAAAATGATTATACCCTTACATCTTTCACTAATACATATAAGATTGGATCTCTGAACTTAGTTTTACATTAAATATATAAATTAATTATTCTACACATTTAACTAAATAATATATATCCTAATCAATGTTTTTTACATGTAATGCTTATATAACTCTACTATGATACGGGTCAATAATTATTAGTTTTATAGATATTTTAAATAACATGATTATACTGTAATATTGACTTATTAATTTTAGATATTTTTTTATAATTATTTGTAATTTTAATTTGAATAAATGTTCAGTCAGAACGTTTTTTTTTAAATTTCTGTTCAATTTTCATTCAATTTTCAGTTCGAGCATTGCAGCTAAAGTAATTAATAATTATAATATTATATCCGGGTTTGCGGGTTATTGGTCTCTACTTAGAACAACAGATGGTATCATCAATATAGCATTATTTCAGATGGGTGTCTTTGGTCCTAATAAAATATTAATGTTCCACCGTACAAATCGCTAAAAGATGATACCTACCTACATCGTGTAAAGTAAACTTATCGAATTATTGTTTTATTAAAAAATATTTTTTTATAATTATAGGTATTTAAATGATTCTAAGTATTTGGGACCCCGTACAAGAACTTGAAGCGTGCGGCCCTGGTGCAATGAACCGCCCGCACCCGCGGTTTCTACGGCACTCGCAATCCGCACGATCGTTTCGCCGCCCCCGTAGACCTCGCTCAGGACCGATGGGCTGCTATCAAAAGTGGTAGGTATGATTAAGTAAGTATAATGAAAATAATGTAGTCGCATTAACATATTTTAACCATGTACCTACACACGTTTGTAAACGATATTTTTTTATTCCTTTTTATTTACAAACATGGTGATGTACCCCTTCATACCTCCTGTTTTAACCGCACATGGTATTTATGTTGGTACTTACAAGCAATTCTTGAATTGTTATTATTCTACTTACCTAAACCTAACTAAAAACTCTCCTTGTCTGGTCTTATTATCAGATGTAACATCGGTGGATGTTAAACAAAACGTATCTACCTACTTAATCATAAGTTGGTTTTCAGCTTTTACGTTTGAATTATTTAAATACTCGCTTACAATTCGAATAAAATACCATGCGGTCCACGACACTATGCATAACAGTACAATAATTCATTATTTCAACGGTATCGCGTAAGTTGGTATCGGTGAAAAATTGTCGAATTAATTTACCTCGTCCCGCGCCCGGCCATTCGCGCGCCGCGACGCAACTTTACTACTCTATGGTCGTAACGCGAATGGGCGACGACATTTCGATCGCCGCCGGGCGCTCGTCATTTCAATCGACGACCGTCAGACCGTCGACATCTGCTCTCGCGCTGGTCCCGCAGTTCCGTTTTCCGCATAGTTTGGTACGCCGTTGCGGTTTTCGCCTTTCCGTGTCTACGCGTCGTGTGACGTTCAGTAGTACGCTGATTCGAGAGACTGAATAATATTCCGTCGGTTTGTATTTGTCTTTCTATCGCGAGGTACGCAAGCGCTTCGTCCTCGTACCTTGGAGCGACGGCTACTGCGTGCGTGGTGTTTTTCGCGCGTTTGTCTCCGACCGTTCGCGGCCCCGGCTACGCCTGCGTGAATTTTTTCGATAGTGCAATCATCGAAATACATCAAAAATCGTCCGGTAACGGAAAATTATCGAACCCGTACTATGACGATTTCGCGTAATTGTCCGCGGCTCGTCAACGAGCGAGCTGCGCCCCTCCGCGATCCAGTCAGTGTACCCGTGGCGGTCCTGGATGCTGGCCGGAGGTTGCCCGTATACACGTAATATTATTAATTGCTGTGTGTATCTTTCGATACCTGCCAGCGTGTACCGAGTTATTTTGTACCGATACCCGATGTCGGCATTTTGTATTCTTGATGTTTTCGCGTAATTGTCCGCGGCTCGTCAACGAGCGAGCTGCGCCCCTCCGCGATCCAGTCAGTGTACCCGTGGCGGTCCTGGATGCTGGCCGGAGGTTGCCCGTATACACATAATGTCGGTTGTTTTACCTATTAATTGGCGTGTGTCTTTCGAGACCTACGTAGGTAGGCTACGTACGACACACACATCGAGACATGTTGTTATTGGTATAGGTATNAAAAAAAAAAAAAAAAAAAATAATGCTCACCTACTATAGATATAGTTGTTAATTAATCGGTTTCTGTATCTTAATTACCAGACTTCCGGGCGTGCTGCAGCGATAGAAGATTCGGCTGTAATGAATCGCGCATAAGGATACAAACACTTTCATTTATTTTAACTTTAAATCTATTATAAAAACACGCTGGACTGTATTCGAAAATTGTTTTATGGGAAATAATTTTTAGAAAAATGTTTAAAAATCCCAAGAAATTAGCCTCTTATAGTTTATACGACCGACGGAGTACGTCAATATTTGTACGACCCACGCGTATACAAATATTCAGAATGTTTCAGCTACGTCAATGCGGCGGACGTATTGCCTGCGGGCCACTTGTATAAGACTGCAGGTACAATCGGTTTAGAAAAAAAAAAAAAAAAGTGCCGATACTGCGGACGGGTGTGCCATTGTTGTAGATGAAAATTTGGAAGGTAGGATACAGATAGGAATTTAATATTTATGTAACGAAGCTAACCATTTCTAACGAAAAAACGATTCTGACCGGAGTTCAGTTGACAGTGCTTCTGTGTTAACATTATATATAAATATATGCCATATTATAAAATAATTGAATAGCCATTATATATATTTTTTAATAATATTATTATTTAATATTGTACCGTTTTTCCCGGTTTTTCACAGCTGCTAGGAAAATCGAAAAATTGCCCCAATCAGATTTCCTTTCAGAAAAAGTGCTATCATTGTACATTAGAGCAAAACTGCTTGTGGAAAAATTGTTCACAGGAAAAAAGTTTAAATATACATATATTATACTAACGGACCCGACAGACGTTGGCCTGCATGATATTTCAAGTGATTAGGATATAAAACAAGGTATGAAATGAAAGACAAATAATATAATAATTTCATTATTTTTGAATATTATTTACTATTTTGAAATTGCATAAATTTTTCTAAAAACAATTCGTTACAATCAATAATGTTTGTTTAATTTTATCTTAATGCGAGTTGATGAACAATATTTTTATTCAATTCCCGAGGAGTATAAATTAATAAACTCTACGGTTTTCCAACGCGAGAACATGCCACATATAATTGGCCATGTGAAAAGACCAGATTTTCTAGATCCAACCCTCAAATGGACATTGTTTGACCTTGTGACTTATTAATAGTCATGGCAAATGCCAAGCGAATTGGAAATTGCAGACGTTTGAATGGAATGGGTGAGTCTGGAGGGATCATTGGGATTCGTGGCAGGAGAACAACTTCACCTTTGCTGTTAAAAACTGTAGCTTCAAGAATCATATGCCTGTTGACCACTCGGTTCAAGATTTTTGAAAAAAGATTCTGTTGATAGTGTAAATCTATCATTAGTATTAGGTACTGTCATTATTTTTTGTTTATTAAATTACACCTTTGAGAGATTTATAAAATATAAATATAAATTAAAATTATCAATGTTGTCCTCCTAATATATAATATTTAAATAGGAAAAAAATCTAAAAACACTAATCTATATAGTGACCATTTAAGAAATATGAATACAATTATACTGATATTGTTCTATGTTTATATATCAACTTACCCTTTTAAGTAATACAATTTACATCACAAAAAAATTAATGTCAAATTTTATAATTGTAAAAATTACACTTATGAGTATTTTGTGTTCATTCCATAATGATTTTTTAAATTTACATCAACACAATTTTTTTTTTTTAATATTTACAATTCTATAACACCAAATATTTTTTAATATGAATATCTGATATAGTATATCTTTCATTTGCAATAAGTACTGATATTGTTCTATGTTATAAATTAACTTACGCTTTTAAGTAATACAATTTACATGTCAAAAAAAATTAATATCAAATTTTATTACAATGGAAATTATCCTGATGGGTATTTTTTGATCATTCCACAACATTTTTTAAATTTACATCTGTACAGTTTTTTTTTTTTTTAATATTTACAATTTAATAAAACCCAATGTCAACTTATTAGGAAAGTCTCATAATAATACTTTAAGTATTACAATTTTAATTAGTTAAATTATTTAAAAAATGTTCAATATAATGTCCTAAATTTGTTTAAATATAATTAAACAAAATTGTACTTAAATATCTCAAATGGTCTCTAAAAGTTAAGTGTTTTTAGATTATTTTCATAGATACTATATATTTGGATAAAAACATTGCAAAATATATTTCATGTATCTAAAACTATTAATCTACAGGGTTAAATTTATTTGTTCTTTCATTATTTATTATTGTGTTTTATATGTATATTTTTATATATCATATCAATATATCAGTATTTAACTATATATATAGTGAATATAAATAATGATTCCTAGAATATGTTTATTAAGATTTATACAAACTAA